CGCCGTTGACCCGGTCGAGGTTACTGGTGACTCTGGTGCTGCTGCGGGTGCTGAGCCTGGGGGTGCTGACTCTGGGGGTGCTGTGCGCGAGGGTGCTGAGCCTGGGGGTGCTACTGCTGGGGGTGCTGGGCCTGAGGGTGCTACTGCGGAGGGTGCGGAGCCTGGGGGTGCTGAGCCGGGGGGTGCTGTGCCTGGAGGTGCTGGGTCTGGGGGTGCAGGGTCGGGAGCTGCTGAGCCTGGGGGTGCTGAGCTGGGAGCTGCTGAGCCTGGGGGTGCTGCGTCTGGAGCTGCTGAGCCTGGGGTTTCTCCTGCTGCTGCGTCTCGCCGGGAGCCCCTCTCTCCACAGGAGCTGCGCGAGTGGTTCGCTCGCCGCTGGAGGCGTGCTGCTGAGTCTGGAGGTGCTGCTGGAGCTGGAGCTGGAGCTTCTTCGACCGTCGAGGGTGCGGGTGCAGCCGGTCCCGGAGCTGCTGGCCCTGCAGGTCCTCCTGGAGCTGGAGCTGCTGAGGGCGTTCGTGCTGAGCCTGCTGCTGTTGGTCCTGCCGCTGGAGGTGTGGGTGGCGCTGGTGCTGTCGCTGAGGGTGCTGGTGCTGTCCCTGCTGAGTCTGGAGCTGCCGCGCGGCCTCGGCCGTACTTCGTTCCGCTCCTTCAGCAGGTTCTTGGTCTTTCTCCTCCAGTAGAGGGTCCACCGCCTGTCCAGTCGCAGCCCCTACTGGAGCCTTCCTCTCCACTGCCTGCTCCCTCTCCTTACACTGGTCCTACTGGAGGTCTTGCTGAGCGTCGTGAGCCTGCGTCTCGTCCCGCGTCGCCTGTTCGTGCTGCTCGCGCTAGTGGTCGCAGTTCGCGTCAGCGTCCTCCTCCTGTCCCTGGCACGCACCGGATGTCTTTACGTCCGTCCACTGCTCCTCTGCGTGCCCCTTTGCCTTCTCCTCCTGAGTCCTCTCTTCCTGCGCTTGCGGACCCTGAGTCGGACTCTCTTCGTGCTGCCAGTCCCACTGTCACGCGTCTGCTTGCTACTGTCGTCACTGACCCCTCTTTTGAGTCCACTGCTGCGTCTGCTCTAGTCGCTGAGCTCGTCGACTTTGCTGCTCGCTGTCGTCTCGACTACGCTGCTAGTCTTGTTGCTGAGTCTGCGTCTGTCTGTCCTCCGTCCGTCGGGGGTGAGTGTGCTCTTGGCACGGACGTCCTAGAGGACAGGCAGGAGGAGTTACAGTGTCTAGCGGCTGCTTCACCTCATCTCGCGTCTGTACTGCTTGCCCCTGAGGGAGACCCGGATGCACTAGACATCCCGACTCCGCGTTCTTACGCGGAGGCCGTAGAGGGTCCCTACTCCTCTCAGTGGCAGGCAGCTATGGATGCAGAGATGGCTTCCTGGAAGTCCACAGGCACCTACGTTGACGCGGTTCCCCCTCCTGGGGCGAACATCGTCAGTGGCATGTGGATCTTCAGGGTGAAGCGGCCGCCGGGCTCTCCACCTGTCTTCAAGGCACGGTACGTTGCTCGTGGCTTCAGTCAGCGGCAGGGAGTTGACTACTTTCAGACCTCTCTCCCACCCCGAAGATGACTACTCTTCGGGTGCTGCTGCACATAGCCGCTCAGCGTGACTACGAGCTTCACTCTCTCGACTTCAGCACTGCGTTCTTGCAGGGTAGCCTGCACGAGGAGATCTGGCTTCGCCGTCCACCTGGCTTCACTGGGACTTTCCCTCCTGGCACCCAGTGGAGCCTCCGACGGCCAGTCTACGGTCTCCGCCAGGCACCGCGTGAGTGGCACGACACACTGAGGACTACGCTTGCGGCTCTTGGGTTTGCTCCTTCTACTGCTGACCCGTCGCTGTTTCTTCGCACCGACACTTCCCTGCCGCCGTTCTACATCCTCGTGTACGTCGACGACCTGGTCTTTGCCACAGCGGACACTGCTGGACTCGCCTACGTGAAGTCCGAGCTGTTGAAGAGACACACGTGCACAGACCTGGGTGAACTGCGCAGCTACCTTGGCTTGCAGATCACTCGGGACAGAGCACGCCGCACCATTACCTTGACTCAGTCACACATGGTGCAGCAGGTCCTTCAGCGCTTCGGCTTCACGTACTCCTCGCCTCAGGCCACTCCTCTGCCTACTCGCCACTCACTCTCAGCTCTGCCTTCGGATGAGTCCGTAGAGTCGAGTGGTCCGTATGCGGAGCTTGTTGGCTGCCTCATGTACCTGATGACCTGCACACGACCTGACCTTGCATACCCTCTGAGCATTCTTGCACGCTATGTTGCTCCTGGGAGACACAGACCGGAGCACATGGCTGCAGCGAAGAGGGTATTGCGCTACCTGTGCAGTACGTCAGGCATGGGGCTAGTGCTTGGAGGGCGGAGTCCAGTGGTCCTTACCGGCCACGCGGACGCTTCTTGGGCTGACGACCAGGCTACGCAGCGGTCGTCACAGGGTTACACCTTCAGCCTTGGTTCCGGCTCTGTCTCGTGGCGGTCTACTCGCTCGTCTTCGGTTCTCGGCTCCAGTTGTGAGGCTGAGATCTACGCCGGGGCCATGGCTGCACAGGAGCTTCGCTGGCTCACCTACCTGCTGACTGACCTTGGAGAGCCGCCTCGTTCTCCTCCAGTGCTGTACGTAGACAACAAGGCTATGCTGGCCTTGTGTCGAGAGCAGCGCTTGGAGCACAGAACGAAGCACATTGCTCTCCGCTACTTCCTTGCTCGTGAGCTGCAGCAGCGTGGTCAGTTGCGACTTGCGTACGTGGCCTCTGAGGCCAACACTGCTGATGTGTTCACCAAGGCACTTGCGCCTTGTGACCATCAGCGTTTCTGCACCCAGCTGGGTCTTGTGCCTGTCTTGCCTCACTTGCTCTCCTCTTGACTTCACTTGTACTGTGACATATATATATACCTGCTCTTGCTTGTCTAGCTTTATATATATGTCTGTACTCTTGCTTGTGAACTGGCCTTTGGCCTTGCTCTTGTGCTCGGACTGTGTGGTGACTTTGTGATCCACCCTGAGCTTTGCTTTGTCTTGCTTGACTGGTCTTGTGACCCCTTGTTCTCCCCCACTTTGCCTATGGGGGTGTGTCAGAACATATCTATAGCTTATACTGCTGTGTAGGCTGTAGTGGGGTATCCCATAGGGGGTACAACCCAGTTAGGGTTTCATATTTGTACTGCTTTCATTCATAGTTCATCCATTCCTGTTTTCCTATTATCACAGTATTTGTACCCAATCTTTGCTTAGTCATTACATTCCTCTCTCAACTCAGCAGATATGTCGCAGGCCTCAAGTACGAAGTATAGTACGAGGTGCGACGGGCGAGGCCACGTGGTTTTCTCGATGCCGTCCAGGTGGCTAAATCAACGGATGCGCTGATGCAATGGGCGAGAATGAGTTCCTAGGAGGGCACTCAATTTCGTGGACCGCCGCGCCAGCCCACAATCAACGGGGTGGATGCACCGAGACGTGGACCTAACACGTGCTTCAACTGCAACCAACCGGGCCACTGGAGGAAGGACTGCCCGAAGCTGAAATAGGGAAGCAGGAACGACGGAGAGGGGACGGGAAAAGAGACGAGTCAGTAGCAGTCGGGCCACCTACTGACGAGACCCCGTCGCCCGGCAATCAACATCCACACCGAGTAGTGGTACCGATACGGGCTATCGACCGCAACCGGACGAATAAGGTGGATGAACACGTGGATCACCCTGTGCTGGTCGTGGGGAGGGTTAACGGGTATAAAATAAAATTATTCGTTGACGGTGGGGCGAGCCACAGTATCGTCAACCTGGCAACGGCCAAAAAAATTGGGGTCAAGCTGGACAGGTGTCTACCCGAGATTGACGCGCGACTGGTGGACGGGACACCGCTGGCGATAAAAGACGAGGTCCGACAAATTCGGATGAAGTGTGGCGACGATTTCGGGTTTTCCATGCGGATGCTGGCGACAACACTGGACGGTTGCGATGTGCTGCTGGGAAGAGATTGGCTGCAGCGATTCAATCCGATCATCGACTGGACGTCGGGGGCGATTACGGTGCTGTGCAACAAGGGGTGCGTGACACTTCCGAAGTGGGCGGAGCCGGAGCCGATGACAACACGTGTCAATGCAATAACATTGAAGAATTCGATCAAACGGGGAGCGCAAGGCTACGCTGTACAGTTGTACGAGGTGGTGGCTTCCGAAAACATCGCTGACATCGACACGCTCTGCGCTGCTGTACCCGACGACGTGGCGAGCATAACTCGGAGGTATCTGTAAGAATAGTAGGTGTGGGGCCTAGGCTTAGTAGCCTAGGCCCACACTAGGAGGTAGGTGGGCTTGCTCTAGAACTAGGAGTTAGGGTTTACGAAGGAGAATTGGAAGGAAGAATGACTGAACTAGCAAGCAGCAGGACACACAAATAGAAAACCCTAAGGGGTTGTACTCAGTATTGAGCACCCCACTGCAGGCTAGACAAATAACATTCTGACACACCCCCATAGCCAAAGTGGGGTGTAATCAGCAGAGCAGGCAAAGCAGTACAAGCTCAGGGTGGATCACAATGTCACCACACATTCTGAGCACAAGTTAAAGAAACAATAGTTTAAAGTTAAGAATTATGAGCAAAGCTAGTGGTAGTCACATCGGGCAAGTGAGGAGGAGGAGAGAGAGTGAGGGGAGAGGAGATAGGAGGAGACGGCTGAAGCTGCAGACACACGGGCAACAGGAGGCAGACTGGCACAGCGGCTACCGGACTAAGCGCCCGGACTACAGGAGTAACAGGCCCCGCGGCTAAAGTAGCGGCAGACGAGCAACGGACCCACGGGCGGCTGGCGTAGAAGTCTAGCTCACTGGGCTACCGGGACAGCGCCCCGGACTACAGGTGCTGCGGACTACAGTACGGCAACTTCCATGCAGCTTCCCCAAACAGTCCCACCCCCCTGACACACACCCGCTGCTACACCGCTAGCTCCACTCCAACGCACCCCCCTTAAACCCTAAACCCCAGTCTCCCACACAACCACCCCCCTCAGCAACAGCTGCAGCAGTGGGAGACGAAGGAGGAGGAGGAGCAAAGGGAGGAATGCACACCAGCCACCCCCATACCCGCAAACGGGGGGGGGGGGGGGGGGGGGGAGAGCAGAAACAGTGCGCACGAGGGCGCAGATAGTAGCAGAGCGCACGAGGGCGCGAGCACGAGGCACGAGCAGCACCAGGCACATGCAGCACAGGGCAGCACAGGCACGGGCAGCACAGGGCAGCACAGGCACGGGCAGCAACAGGCACAGGCAGCACAGGCACGGGCAGCACAGGCACGGGCAGCATAGGCACGGGGAGCACAGGCACAGGCAGCAACAGGCACAGGCAGCACAGGGCAGCACAGGCACGGGCAGCAACAGGCATAGGCAGCACAGGCACGGGCAGCACAGGCACGGGCAGCACAGGCACGGGCAGCACAGGCACGGGCAGCAACAGGCACAGGCAGCACAGGGCAGCACAGGCACGGGCAGCAACAGGCACAGGCAGCACAGGCACGGGCAGCATAGGCACGGGCAGCACAGGCACGGGCAGCACAGGCACAGGCAGCACAGGGCAGCACAGGCACGGGCAGCAACAGGCACAGGCAGCACAGGCACGGGCAGCACAGGCACTGGCAGCACAGGCACGGGCAGCACAGGCACAGGCAGCAACAGGCACAGGCAGCAAAGGGCAGCACAGGCACGGGCAGCAACAGGCACAGGCAGCACAAGCATGGGCAGCACAGGCACGGGCAGCACAGGCACGGGCAGCACAGGCACAGGCAGCAACAGGCACAGGCAGCACAGGCACGGGCAGCACAGGCACAGGCAGCAACAGGCACAGGCAGCACAGGGCAGCACAGGCACGGGCAGCAACAGGCAAAGGCAGCACAGGCACGGGCAGCACAGGCACGGGTAGCACAGGCACGGGCAGCACAGGCACAGGCAGCAACAGGCACAGGCAGCACAGGGCAGCACAGGCACGGGCAGCAACAGGCACAGGCAGCACAGGCACGGGCAGCACAGGCACGGGCAGCACAGGCACGGGCAGCACAGGCACAGGCAGCAACAGGCACAGGCAGCACAGGGCAGCACAGGGCAGCACATGCACGGGCAGCACAGGCAGGGCAGCACAGAGCGTACCGGGTCCAGGGGCGGCAGCTGCTGCAGGCGCTGGCGGCGGCTGCTGCTGCAGGCTCTGGCGGCGGCTGCTACTGCAGGGCGGCGGCGTCTGCTGCTGCAGGCCTGGCGGCGGCTGCTGCTGCAGGGCGGCGGCATCTGCTGCTGCAGGCCTGGCGGCGGCTGCTGCTACAGGGCGGCGGCGGCTGCTGCTGCAGGATCTGACGGCGCCCCACGGGTCCCGCAGGGGGCGTCGCGACGAGCAGGGGCGACGCCCCGCGGGTCCCACAGGGGGCGTCGCGACGAGCAGGGGCGACGCCCCGCGGGTCCCGCACGGACGTCGCGACGAGCAGGGCGACGCCGCGCGGGTCCCGCAGGGGGTGTCGCGACGAGCAGGGGCGACGCCCCGCGGGTCCCGCAGGGGGCGTCGCGACGAGCAGGGGCGACGCCCCGCGGGTCCCGCACGGACGTCGCGACGAGCAGGGCGACGCCGCGCTGGTCCCGCAGGGGGTGCCGTGACGAGCAGCGGGGAGGGCAGCGCGCAGGCCCCCCCGAGGGCGCTCCGACGGACGGGAAAATCGCCGCGCGCCCCGAGCGCGCGGCGGGCGGAAAAAGCCGCCACGCGTTTGAAGCGCGTGGCGGGATAAAAATGCACCACGGGGCGCGCGGCGGATAATACGGCAGCGGAAGTAGGTGGTGGGCCCGATGAACTAGGCGGCAGGATCTTGCCGGCTCTAGATACCATGTAAGAATAGTAGGTGTGGGGCCTAGGCTTAGTAGCCTAGGCCCACACTAGGAGGTAGGTGGGCTTGCTCTAGAACTAGGAGTTAGGGTTTACGAAGGAGAATTGGAAGGAAGAATGACTGGACTAGCAAGCAGCAGGACACACAAATAGAAAACCCTAAGGGGTTGTACTCAGTATTGAGCACCCCACTGCAGGCTAGACAAATAACATTCTGACAGTATCCCAAAATTTTCGCGGATGACCTGCCTGACGGGTTGCCACCTCAGCGTCCGGAGGACCACAAGATTGAGCTAGAACCAGGCGCAAAACCAACTGTTCGGTCCCAATGGCGGCTCAACCAACCGGAGCTAGACGATTTGCAGAAACAGTTGGATTATCTGCTTTCTAAGGGTTTTATCCGGCCGAGCACGTCACCGTACGCCGCCCCGATACTGTTCACACCGAAGAAGGACAGAGGCCTGCGCATGTGCATCGACTACCGAGCGTTGAATCGGGTCACGATCAAGTCACGTTACCCGATCCCACGAGCAGACGACCTGCTGGACCAGCTTCGCGGGGCTCACTTCTTCTCGAAAATCGATTTGCGAGGTGGCTACCACCAAATTCGTGTGTTCGCCGACGACTGCCCGAAGACTGCATTCCACACCCGCTACGGCAGTTATAAGTACACCGTGATGCCGTTCGGGTTGACGAACGCACCCTCGAATTTCCAGCTCACCATGAATGGAGTGTTTCGGGACATGCTGGACAAGAAGGTCATTGTTTACCTGGACGACATCCTGGTGTACAGCAAGACTCGGGAGCAGCATTTACAGGACTTAGACGAGGTGTTCTGACGCTTGCAGCAGAATCGGCTGATTACGAAGGGCTCTAAGTGCGAGTTCTTACGGTCGGAGCTGGAGTTTGTGGGGCACGTGGTCTCAGGGGAGGGCATTAAAAATGGACCCTCGTAAAGTAAAGGCAATTTTGGAGTGGAAGCCGCCCACGAACATCACTGAGTTGCAGAGTTTCCTCGGCTTCGTTAACTACGTCCGCCGTTTTGTACCCAATATGGCGGGAGTAACCAGGCCGTTAACCGATCTTCTGCATAAGGGCGTGCATTTTGGTTGGGGGAAGAGAGAAGAGCTGGCTTTCGACGAGCTGAAGAAAATTTTGAGTTCACCCCCGGTGCTTCGGCTGGCAGATCCATCTCGACCGTTCGAAGTCGTGACGGACGGCAGCGACTTCGCCGTCGGCGGTGTGCTACTACAGGACTTCGGCAACGGGCTGCAACCCATCGCATACAAGTCAAGAAAACTGCAGTCGCCCGAGCGCAACTACCCGGTTCACGACAAAGAAATGCTCGCCATCGTGCATGCGTTTTGTACCTTGCGATGTTACCTCACGGGAGCTGATGTCACCATCCAAACTGACCACAAGTCATTACAATACATGCGCAGCCAACCACAGCTCAACTCACGACAAATCCGGTGGCTTGATTACCTCGAATCCAACTTCAGCTACACCATCACATATAAAAAGGGCGCCAACAACATCGCCGACGCCCTGACCCGCCCATCGATGCAGACCGCAACAGTACTAATCACCCATTCTAACCCTTTATTGACAGGATTATTCAAGCACGGCTACAGGATTGACAGATTTTTCAGGACCAATCAACACCACGGGGTCACTACAACGCATGGGAGTTACTACCTAATGTCAAACATTTATATGTTTGTGTGGTTCTAGGCTGTAGTGGGTCACACCATAAGGGGTACACAAGATTAGGGTTTGACATATTTGTACTGTTGTTCCTGCTAGTCACTCCTCATTCTCGTTTCTCATTCTGACATGGTATTACGAGCCTAGGTTCCACCTAGGACCGAAACGATAGGGCCCACCGTTTCCGCTAGCCGCGCCCTCGTGCGCCGCCGTTCTGTTTCCTGCGCCTCGAGCGCCTCCTTCTCAAGGCCCCGTATGGCCCCGCGCTAGCCTCTCATTGCCCCCGATCGGCCCCGCGCTAACCTCCTAAGGCCCCCGTCGGCCCCACGCTAGCCCCGCGCTAGCCTCCTAAGGCCCCCGATCGGCCCCGCGCTAGCCTCCTAAGCCCCCGTCGGCCCCACGCTAGCCCCGCGCTAGCCTCCTAAGGCCCCCGATCGGCCCCGCGCTAGCCTCCTAAGGCCCCCGTCGGCCCCGCGCTAGCCTCCTAAGCCCCCGTCGGCCCCACGCTAGCCCCGCGCTAGCCTCCTAAGGCCCCCGATCGGCCCCGCGCTAGCCTCTTAAGGCCCCCGTCGGCCCCGCGCTAGCCTCCCACGGCCCCTGCAGGCCCCGCGCTAGCCTCTCACGGCCCCTTAAGGCCCCACGCTAGCCTCCCACGTCCCCTGCAGGCCCCGCGCTAGCCTCTCACGGCCCCCCCTTTGGCCCCGCGCTAGCCCCGACCGGCCCTCCCGCGCTCGCCCCTCTACGACCGAGCCGCACGGCGCGACCCGAACCGAACCGCGCGACCCAGCCGAGCCGCGCCGCCCCAGCCGAGCCGCGCCGCCCTAGCCGAGTCGCGCCGCCCTAGCCGAGTCGCGCCGCCCTAGCCGAGCCGCGCCGCCCTAGCCGAGCCGCGCCCTACTTACCTGTGCACAGCACTGCTACTGCTACTGCTACTGCTACTACCACCACTGCTGCTACTGCTACTTCAGCTATGGCTAGCCCTACAGTTCTCTCGTTCGATTCTGAGGGCCGCCCGATTAAGTTTGATACCTGGCTCGATGATCTGCACCTGTTCCTCCAGCTCACTGCCAGAGAGGATATCTCGCTGTACGATCACGCACTAGGCACAGTCCCTGCTCCTGCTACTACTGCTACCGCTACTGCTCGCTCGCAGTGGCAGACTCGCGATGCCCACGCCCGCTTTGCCATTCGCAAATCCCTGCCAGTCGATGAGCGTGAGCACTTCGGCCAGCATCAGACTGCGCAGGCCCTGTACACTGCTGTAGTTACGCGCTACTCCTCCCCGGCCTCAGCTGCACTAGGCCGTCTCTCCCTTCCCTACCTGTTCCCCGACCTGTCCGCTTTCCAGACAGTCGCTGACCTCATCACTCACCTCCGTACTAGTGATGCCCGCTTCCGTGCAGCCATGCCCGCTGAGTTTCTTGCCTCCAACCCTCCCCCGCTCTGGCTCACTCTCTACCACCTAGTCACCCGCCTCCCTGACACTCTGCGTACAATAAGGGACCACTTCCTAGCTCGCTGTCCCACTGAGCTCACCATTGCCGCCCTAGAGAAGGAACTACTTGCAGCTGAGAAGAGTATTGTAGCTGTAGGTGCCTCTCGTGGCGACCCCCGCACCCCTTTCTTCGAGGGGTGTTCCCCCTCCCCCCTCCTCCCCTCTGTCGCCTCTGCTGCTGCTGTCGACCTTCTTGGTGCTGAGCAGGTCGGCTCTGCGTCCGCTCCCAGCGGGCGCCGCAGCGGCAAGGGCAGGGGAGGCAAGGGCGGTGGGGGTGACGGCGGGGGAGGTGGTGGTGGGGGTGGTGGCAGCGGCGGGGGCGGTGGAGGGGCTGGAGGGGCTAGTGGCAGCGGTGGGGGTGGTGGAGGCAGCGGCGGCGGCGGTGGCCGCGGTGGGGGTGGTGGTGGTGGCGGCAGTGGACGTGGCGGCGGCAGGGGCGGTGGTGGTCGTGGTGGAGGCGGCGGTGGTGGTCGTGGAGGCTCTGGCACTGGCCAGAGTGCGCAGCACCCTCAGTCCTCCCAGGAGCTTCGTGAGTGGTACTTACAGCACGGGGGTGGGGGGGGTAGCCTTAGCTGCACGTACGTCATCCGCACTGGTCGCCGCAAGGGACAGACCTGCGGGAGGGCGCACACTTCGCAGCGCTGCTTCTCACGCCTAGATGACGCTTGGCGTGCTCAGTTTCCTGACGCTCCTGAGCTCCCTCAGTGGGCTGATCTCCTCAAGAAGGATATCGATATCTATGCTCTTGATTTTGATGTTATTCTCAAAGCAATGTATGCATTGACTATTAGTGGAGAGGAGGACCAGTACCTGAGTGTTCCGCCTGACCCAGGCATCCGCACGAGTGAGGCTGCCGCCCTAGGTGCTTGCGTGTCTGCTGCCCCAGGTACTGGTGAGGCTACTGCTCTAGGTGCGTGTGTGTCCGCCACCCCAGGTGCTACTGAGTCCACTGAGGCACTGCACACCTTCACTCTAGACTCAGGCGCTTCGCGCTGTTTCTTTCGTGACCGCACTGCTCTTGAGCCCCTTGCTCGACCAGTCGCTGTCTCGCTCGCTGACCCCTCTGGGGGTCCGGTCATTGCGACCTCCTCCACCCTCCTTCCTTGTCCTGCTGTCCCGTCGGGCACACTGTCAGGTCTCCACCTCCCCTCGTTCTCTACGAACTTGGTGGCGGGTTGTGCGCTTCAGGATGGGGGTGTTCACCAGTTCACCCCTGCCTACGAGCGTGTGACACACTGCACGTGTGCTCGGACGGGCCGTCACCTGGCTACCTTCACTCGGCAGCCGGGGTCGGACCTGTACACACTGACCACTGAGTCCCCTCAGGTAGCGGCGTCTGCGTCTGCGTCTGCGTCAGGTTAGCTCTCTGCCCCCTGCTCGTGTCGCTCTCTGGCGCACAAGACTGTCCTCTGGCACCACCGACTTGGTCACCCGTCAGTGCAGCGCCTTCGGGGCATGCATGCCCGGTACCTTGTCTCTGGTCTTCCCTGGGTACTCCCTCCCCTCCCACCCTCCCTTGCTCCTCCTTGTCTTCCCTATGTCGAGGGGCGGCAGCGCGCTGCCCCTCACTCCTCCTCGTTCCCCCCGACGATTGCTCCTTTGCAGACGCTCCACATGGACGTGTGGGGCCCAGCCCGCGTCCGTGGTCAGGGCCAGGAGAGGTACTTCTTGATCGTCGTTGACGACTACTCGCGCTACACCACGGTCTTCCCCTTGCGCACCAAGGGTGAAGTCCCTGATGTTCTAATCCCCTGGATCAGCAGAGCACGTCTTCAGCTGCGAGAGCGTTTTCGCTCGGAGT